AGCCACGTTATTGTGACTCCTGGTCTGCACGTAAGCCTTTCTCTAACAGTTAATGCAAAAATCCATAAATCACATCTACAAATGCAAAATTATGGGCAATTGTGAGTATTAATGGCAAAGCACTGCATCTGTAAAACATTTGTCATAATATTTCAGTTCTTTTTTCAGTGAACAACACTTTAATCTAGTAATTTGATTAAATATCATTTAAAGACCCAAAAGTTAAATTTAAACAAATCTAGTCCATTCTCATTGATATGAAAAATTGCAAGATCTATGCTTAACTAGTTTTCCCAATGTCTAAGCAAATTGCAGAGCAGTACTCTAATACAATACTTTGTGAGAAATTTAATTTAACCGAGGAGCGGCAGTGGTCGCAAATATAATATTTTTTTATAATTCTCTGATTATGTTATAGATTTTTTATAATCTACTGTTTTGGTGTATTATTCAAAAGTGTGTAATTTGAGAAATTTATACAATTAAATGTGAAACATTGCTATTCAAAGAAATTACGGTGCTCACAGTGACATGTACGTTATATTTTTAGAGCAATAAAACACTGTTTTTGCTGTTATTACACTATACACGTTATTTATAACTATCAACATTTTAAGCACCATAACAAACTAATAACTAGTTCTGGTGTGTGACGGTGAAATCAAAACAGCATGGAGCAATACAATACAGACAACCACAGCAGTCGCACTATGCAAGAAAACGCCTACAGTATTCTACATATCTCGCTATGACTAGTCACAGAACTGCTGCTATTATCACATTCCCAACAAAATCACGAATATGAATCCATTTCCACAAGGTCGTGTTGTGAAGAAGCATGAGGTCGTTTCATGATGTGTAGATGAAGGAGACTGGCTGGGTGCTGTGCCCCTACCTTATGTTTGTTGTTATCATAACTAGCATTGTATTCATCGATATCTGAACGTTGTACATAGTCTTTATCGCAGGATCATCTTGGTCACTATCAACACAAACTAATTGTAATTAACTATTTTATTCATCATTATCAAGTGGTACTGTGACCCTTAGCTGCACAACAGTGCTGTGAACTCTGGCAAGTGCCAGCCTTAGTTGCTCTCTCCTACTTAGACACTGATCTAAGAATATAATTTATGTCACTATACATGAGCACCAAATTTTTTAGCACAGCAATGTTCCACACATTTGATTATACAGGTATAATTTTATCAAATTACATGCTTTTGAACAATATTACAGCAAAAAAGTAAGAAAACAATAACTGACTGAAATAATTATGAAACATCATATTCGCTGCAACTGCTGCCCCAGGGGGTCGCTGGGACTAGGGTTTACCGAGCACTTGTCACACTGTACCCATATATTGCACAACTTCTCTGCTCCCTCCCACAGCTAATGTATGTCATACAGTATTTTTTTCCCCGTGATCAGAGAATGCATTTTAACAATATGTAATGATGGGTTTGAATTTTTTTTCAGGTGCACCATGGGGTGTGTGATACTATAATGCATTGCAGTGGTTAATAAACAGTAGCATGGGTACTTTTGGCAAGGGGCAAGAGGAACTTAAGCATTGATAAGAAGACTCATTGAAGAAATGTGATTGTGGTGGGAAAAAGCAGCTAGAAAAAGGAGTATGGCATTAGTACTATTACTGTTTGATTGAAGCACAAATGAAGCATATGAAGTACACAGAAATCATAGTGATGTGATATATCAATAAGAAAATCCTCTCATGATTCAAGAAAATGACTTTCTCAAAGCATATGGAGGTTATTTGTAAGAGCATGAAAGGTGCAGGCGATGAGTCACAATAACGTGGCTAAAGTAAGTTGACCAGACCACACACAAGATATATACAAGAGTTGTTACATTCTTGTACAGCCACTAGTACGCGTAGCGTTTCGGGCAAGTCCTTAATTCTATGGTCCCTGGAATACGATCCCCTGCCGCGAAGAATCGTTTTTTCATCCAAGTACACATTTTACTGTTGCGTTAAACAGAGGCTACAGTTAAGGAATTGCGCCCAGTAAATCCTCCCCGGCCAGGATACGAACCCATGACTTCACACTAGAAGGTGAAGGGACGATGATGTTTCATTTAAGTCACAATCGACTCGAGAATGGTCCAGGACGGACCGAAACGTCGTCGTCCCTTCACCTTCTAGTGTGTGGTCTGGTCAACCTGAAAGGTAGTGGTAAGAATAGCCTTGGACTGACTTAGTGGTACAGTTACCACGAATATTTAAAATAAATTATTCCACATACTTACCAAAAACAGTTTAAAATTAAACTGATATCAGTTCCTGAAATTTGGACAGTTACATATTATTTTTACACTTTATATTCTTGGGGGATTCAGAGAAAACAAAACAAATCTGGGAAAATTAAATAACATAAAACATGGTCTCAAACTTAATACGTATTAAAAAATGCATTTTTATTTATGAATCACATTCCAAAATATTTGTAAATAATGATTTTGATGCACAGCAACACAGTTTATGATTTTATTAGGTACTAATAACCAGAGAAATTCAAGGGTAGAAATAGCCTAAGCTATTCTATCCTTTTGAGATGTATTTTATTATCTCAAACTTACTCGAACCAGAGAAATATAAAATCTTGATAGTTATAGATAAATTAGCACAATCCAACCCAAAGAACAACTTATATTAAATTCTAATAACCAAATTCACCCCAGTTGAACCAAGATACATCAGATGATGTAAGCCATTCTCTAACAGTTAATTCAAAAATCCATAAATAGTATGGGTACAATACCCTATGTTTGGCCACATGATCCAAGGAGGAAAGAAATGAAGTTAGTAATAAAAATGGGTAGTTTATAACAGATATGGGTAGTTAAGGAGTGGTGGCCAGCTTGCAGCCTCGACTCCTTCGCCATCAATTGCAGGACCTTGCTCAAAAAAACTAATTAGGGCATTCCATGCATAAATCCATTTAGATTCATCACCCCCCCCCCCTTTCCCCAGCACTGTTTTGTTTAAGTGCCTCGGTTCACATGTCTGCACAAGGAAAAGGCGCTTATTATCGGACATAGATACCAAGAAAACGAATTAGAACAAACTAGCTCCTGTACCAGTGCACAGAATGAAACAAAAAATACTAGGAACTTTAAAATATACGCAAGAAACTTTCAAATGTGAAAGGTATCGAGTATAAACTTGTTAGAATAAATGGAACAAATTTCACCACGATTTAATGCCTAGTACAAAAATCATAGTTTTGGCTGTCAAATTTAAGTGTTAATATTTTATGCATCCAGGACTGCATTTTTCAACCTCTGACAATGAAATAATTCCAGGTCATACTTAAGAAAGACACGACTTTCATTGACAACTGAAAGGAGATTTGTCTGCTCTTGATACTGGTTAAATGATAAAAAAAATCAACAAAAATGACTCAAATACATATGACTTGCCAATTGATCACTATTTATTGCAGAACCCCTAGTTATCTTGGGGTTCCACGGAACACCAAGATAACACTGGTGCATACAATGACACCAAAATCTGGAATTTTCCGGTATAGGGACACTCAAACCGTATAAATTAATTGAAAATGATAAATTTACCAAACATATAAAAATGAAATGAATTTTAGGCATTTCTCTAGTTTTGTTCTATACACTGGAGCAGGCACTACAAATTTTTTCATTCACCGATGTTCAAAGACGGACGGGCCTCAGAGAGACGACGTTTCCCAAATCGCCAGATATATTAATCGGTAGAAATATTAATTTGTGAACATTACTGTATTCTCATTAAAAGTTATAACCATACATAACAATTGTGCACCCAAATTTAGTAACACCGTCAGCTGATATGTCACAACCAAACAGGTAGGCCTATGCCCAACAGGCTTGTGTTATTCTGCACCCAACAGGATAACCTCCACACATACACTGGCAGGGCAAAACACATGGGCAAGTCTCCATACACCCAATGCCTCTGTTTACCCAGCAGTAATTAGGAACCTGGGTGTTAGTCGACTGTTGTGAGTGGCATCCCGGGATTGGTCAAATGCTGCATATATTCCAGGTATACTCGAATTTCCCACAAGCGCTGCAAGGCAGAGCATGAGGAAAATAGCCGCAAGGCTACACACTAAATATGCCACAAGGCATAAAAAATACCACCACAAGGCCACTGCAACAAGTGGGCCGGAAGGTCCCAGAGTCTAAAAAAAAGGGTTTATGCCCTAAGTCAAAGAGTGGGTTCGTGCCCAAACAAAGTAACTACAGTATAAAATAAAACAATCAAACAGCTACTAAAAAAACAAGAGGAATAAAAAAATTAGACTTTGTTTGAGAACAAGCCAGGATTTCCTATTAACCCAGGGGATTAATAGATTCTAAGAGTGCTGCTAAAGCTGGCTATAACTTCATCTATACCTTAAGAGGACAAGAAGTGAATTCCACGTATAAAATTAAGATTGAACCCATTTGTGTATAGCCAATTAATTCAAGGCAACAAAAGCCAGCAAGCAAGCACACACACACACACTCACTAAGAAGTCAGATAGTACCTTGAGATTCTCTAGGGGAAAGCTATCCCTGAGGCTGGCCCTTAACACAACCCTACACACCTGCAGAACACCTGTCTAGTGAGCCTGGCAGGTGCCGAGGCTGATAGTGAACACGAGAGCCCCACAGGGGCTGGCTGGCGGCCACGAGGACAACCACCACCAGGGTCTTGACCCCTAGTCACGCTGCAACAGGCGCTACTCACCCACTTAACTCTCACTTTACACCCTTCTCGTTCCTCCCAGCGGGCCACAAACGTCTTGAGGGAGAGCCTTGGGAGCCTATAGCAAGACTGGGGAAGACTAGCGAGCCTCGGGATGTATTTAGGCCATTCACATCACGATAACGGGACCACCACCGGCACCACCACCTCAACTGTCAAATACTCCTCTCAGTTCCAGCCGTATTTACCCTAAATATCTGCCATATTAGGCCAAACCCTCCCTCCTTACCTTATTCTAATCTACGGGGGATGGACTAAGATGCGAGGAGAGGGGCTCCGGTGGATGGTGGGAAGCGTGGAGGCGGCAAATCAGGCGTCTAAAGCTTCAGAAAATAGCTGGTGGAGTTCCGGCCGCCATTACTGGGTGAGCGTCACGGGCTGAGGCGACGGTTCCTGCCGCAGCCTCCACCACATTCCTCCTCCCCCACCACCACCACACCTCACCTTAAACCTCAACCATAAACTACCAAACACTAAAATTATGTCTGATCTAAGCCTCGTGGGGAGAAATAGTAGGTGTCTATGGCGTGACCATATTGAACCACTTGTTCCACGGCCCAAAATGGAATAAAACGGTGAGTCATTAAACGTCGGGATAGTTCTGTCTCTCTCTCTCACCTGTCGCTCCTGCCTGCATCACTAATCACTCTCCCTTCTCAATATTCACTCTCCCACACTACTCTCTCTCTCCACTCAGTCTCACTACTCTTGCACTCTCACTCTCTATATAGTCATAACTAGAAGGTGTGCGCACTGCTTATAGTTACCCAATATGTGTGCAACAGGTCGGTGTCTAGCACATGTACTCTGCAAACTTGCAGGTCAAAATAAGACATACATAGTCTTTTGACACAACAAAGGATGTTTAATTCATCATGGATGCTAGTACGTAGAGTTATTGCGATGTCTTATATATATACATGTGTACCCTTCCAACCTCGAACAAGTTATAAACATTTCCATTAAGTATATATAAAGTAAATAATGGAAATACGCAGATAAACGACGGGAGTAACTTAAATACACAAAGGACAACACATCCCTGATTTAATTTCTGACTTCATGAAAATCGCACGGGGGGGGGGGGAGGAGGGGGGGCTTGTTACTGGCTATATATTTAACTTAGACCTACTCTGGTCAGCCTATGTCCATAGATGGATTCCAAATTGGCAGGGGGGAATTAAGCCACCTCTTGGGTAGCTTAATCTTCAACTCTCAATCTTATAGTTACCTGGCGGTGCTCGGGATGATCTGCAGACGATGAGTCACAATAACGTGGCTTAATTAAGATATGATGACACTAGAAAATGAGACGACGGCGACGTTTTGATCCTTCCTGGACTATTATCACGTGGACTGTGACGAGACGAGATTGATTGATGATTGATAAAGATTAAGCCGAGACGAGAGAGGTACAGGCATTAAGTAAGGCAAGAGAGAGGTGAGGAGGAAAACTTTTGGGAAGGTAAGACCAAGGCTAAAAGTACGGATAGGATAGGTGTAATAAAGGAGTCTAAGGGGGTAATCATAAGAGCATAAGGACATAAGAACAAAGGTAACTGCAGAAGGCCTATTGGCCCATACGAGGCACCACCTGTTTATAACCACCCAATCCCACACATATACACGTCCAACCTACGGTTGAAACAATCGAGGGACCCCCCCTCCACCACGTTATGCGGTAATTGGTTCCACAACCCTGTTACCGAACCAGTATTTACCAAAGTCTTTCCTAAATCTAAACTTATCTAATTTATACCCATTGTTTCGTATTCTGTCTTGTGTTGATACTTTTAATACCCTATTAATATCCCCTTTGTTATAAGAGCGAATCAAAGGTGTAAGAATCTTACGTAGGAAACGTAAGAAAAAGAGGAGAAAGAAACAGAAAAAGGATGGGTAAGCTTATATTAGGTCATGTTTGTTAGAAAGTTTAGAACATTTAAGTATATACTCTGAAAGGGAAGAGCCAACAGCAACAAAGCCAGGACTAAGGTTCATGTTGGGTAGAGGTTGTACAGCATCAGAGCCGATTCAATAAGACGACGTCTCTGAAGAATAGAGGCAGGAAAGATTATTTTAGAACAACGCCAATCAATAGGATGATTAGAATCCCTAACATGACAGAAGGGAGGAAGAAAAATAGTCTGCAGGCGATGAGTCACAATAACGTGGCTAAAGTATATTGACCAGACCACACACTAGAAGGTGAACGGACGACGACGTTTCGGTCCGTCCGTCCTGAATCGACTTGAGAATAGTCCAGGACGGACCGAAACGTCGTCGTCCCTTCACCTTCTAGTGTGTGTGGTCTGGTCAACAAGAATAGTCTGTCTCTCTTTCCACCCTTCTTCTCCCATCTCAAGTTCAAGTTCAAGTATGTTTATTGAGACAAGGAAGAAATACATCTCAAAGGGATCACTCTCATCTCCTCCTTGCTCTCTTCTTTGTTCCTCGTTTGCAATGTGGATGGTAGATGGCATACTGTGTGATCTCTTTTAATGATTATGCTGCCCCTGTCATGTCTTGTTTTGGTAAAGGCAGACTAAACAAGTTGGAGAAGGTACAAAAAGAGGCCAGGGGAATAATCACAAGATAAAGGGATGTAAGGGGGTAATAAAGGCGGTTTAAGGGAGGCTTTTTTGCCATGACTTTTACGCGGAAACGGGTTGTTCTTCGTCCCTCTTTGTCACTTTATGGTCATCCCCTTGAATACAAAGATTCCGCGAAGCTTTTGGGGTTATTCCTTGACACTCGTTTGTCTTGGTCTCCCCATATCTCTTACCTCCGTGTTGAGTGCTCTAAGTCCCTTACCCTCCTTCGGGTCTTGTCCCATACTTCTTGGGGGGCAGATAGGCGCACTCTCCTTGCTTTACATTCCTCTCTCGTCCTGTCTAAGCTCGATTATGGTTGCCCTGCTTACTCGTCTGCTTCTCCTTCTACTCTTCGCCGTCTTGATGCTTTGCACCATGCTGGGTTGCGCCTCAGTTCTGGTGCCTTTCGTTCGACTCCCGTCCTTAGCTTGTATGTTGACACTGGCTTCCTGTCTCTCCAGGACCGCCGTGATCGCTACTGTCTTCGCTATCTTGCGCGGTCCTTGCAACATCCTTCCTCTCGTCTCTGTCGTGCTTTAACTTTTACCCCTCCTGCGGTTCCTGTTCCTCTTCACCACCTCCCTCTTTCTGTCCGGTTATCTCGCCTGCAGGATTCTCTTTCCGTTCGTATTTCTGATGTTTCTCCTCGTGTTGTTCCTTCTTTGGCCCCGTGGAGGGTCCCTCTTCCGCGGTTTTGTACATCCTTGACTCGTATCACTAAAGCTTTTACCCCTCCTACAGTTCTAAAACGCCTTTTCCTCGAGCACTTTTCTTCTCACTCCCGCTCCGTTTCTGTCTTCACCGATGGGTCTAAGTCAGCGGACGGTGTTGGCTACTCTGTTGTTTTTCCTGATCGCACTTATATGTGTCGCTTGCCTCCGGAGACTAGCATCTTTACAGCGGAACTTTATGCTATTCTCTATGCTCTTCGTCTCCTGCTTTCTCGTTGTCAGTCTTCCTTTGTGGTTGTTGTTGACTCTCGTAGTGCCCTCATGGCTCTCGGGTGCTTTAATCCAGTTCATCCGGTAGTTGTCGAGATCCAGCATTGGCTGTTTCTCGTTCACAGTAAATTTAAGTCGGTTGAGTTTTGTTGGGTTCCCAGCCATATTGGCGTGTCTTTAAATGAGCGTGCGGATGCTGCCGCTAAGGAAGCTGTCCGCTCTTGTCCCATCTCTCGTAAAGGCATTCCGTATTCCGACTTTTACCCGGTTATCCATTCCTCAGTCCTTACCCGTTGGCAGGCTTCTTGGTTGTCTGTTACTGGTAACAAGCTACGTACTCTTAAATGTTGTGTTTCCTCGTGGCCGTCCTCCTTCCACCGTAACCGGCGGTGGGAAACAGCTCTAGCGAGGTTGCGTATTGGCCATACTCGCTTAACCCATGGTCACTTGATGGAGCGCCGCCCTGCTCCTTATTGTCCTAGTTGCATTGTCCCTCTTACGGTCGTGCATGTCCTTCTTGAATGTCCTGACTTCCAGGACGAGCGTGTGTCTTGCTTTCCGACCGCCCCTCGCGGTCACCTATCCCTCGATAGAATTCTTGGTGACTCGGATACTTTTGATATCGTTCGCCTTATGCGTTTTTGTTCTCGTATTGGCATCCTTGGTGATATTTAGCGCCCTCTGATTATTTTGCGTATTTGATGGTGCTACATAGCCTTCCCGGTTTGGTGCCTTCTTTTGATAATTACTTACTTACTTAAGGGAGGCTTTGATGATTTGATTGATGAAGATTAAGCCACCGAAAAGGTGGCACGGGTATGAATAGCCCGTAAGTGGTGTCCCTTTTGAGCCAATACTAGTATCAAGAGCTGATACTGGAGATTTGTGGAGGTGCGACTGCACCCTGCGTGACGGAAGGTCTTCCGTGAAGGGAGGCTTTTTCTCATGGCCTAAGAAATACTAAGATAATCATGTTATGATTGATCTTACATAGTATTGGGGATAGAATTTCAGAGATAAACGAAGCTTCGGCGATTAGACTAATGAGAGGCGAGGGAGCTAATGAATTAATCCTATCACTTCAAAAGGTGGAAAGAAATGAGTAATGCATGTGAACGTATAATAAGATCCTTATGTTATAATGCAACAAAGCATGATGTCTTTAAAGACTGTATTTTATTGCCATAGAAACAATTAACACCAACATGGGACGAACACAACGCAAATGCGGTAATTTATTTCCCTTTATGTTCTCGGATTTATCTTCGCTGCGGTTAATTATTTTATTGATAAGCGACACCATCTCTTGAAATTGTATTGTTTTATACCATTTTTTCCTGAGCTTATCCCTCACCATTTTCCACCACACTGGGTTGAATGAACACTGCTATCATTAGTGGGATAGATAGTTCATTTTCCCGAAACTCTTCCTTCCGTGATACGCCATCTCTTCCTTACTTTCTTTCTCCTCCGTTTCATTCCCCATAACACCCCATGTTTGCCATAGCTAATTTTTCTAGAGCTTCAATAATCTTGTCCAACATTCTGAGATATTCCAAGATGTGTATACCGACCGCAGAATCCTCGAAGCTACCTTGAACCCCATCACCACTAGGGTACACTTTTTCAGCTTCATTTCCTACTGGGAAAGTGGCTTCTCTAGTGGTTTCGATAGCCTATCGTCGTCTATCCTATCGTCGTGTTTCCACTGTTTTTTCCTTGTTCCTGCTGTGCGATCTTGCCTTCCTTCGAATCTTCGTTTACCCTGCTTACGGATGCCGGCTTGGAATCTCTCACACGGGGCTTCATGCGACAGAGAGAGGAACCAGCATTGTGGATGCCTCGACAATTGCAGCAAGATGGCAAAAATTGTTCTCCTTAGTCAATTCTGACTCTACACTGTCGCGAGTCATGCTTCTTACCACAATACCGACATCTGGGGTCAAACTAGCATTTCCAAACCATATGTCCCCAACGAGAACACTTCATAGAATATAGGCTATATATATTTGGCTAGAATATAAGCTATATCTCAATATATTTTGCCAATTTCCTGTATAATGGTGCAGTAACGTC